TTTTTAACAAGCAATGTGTTATTTTTTCTGATAATTCATAATTTTCAATAAAATATTCAACTATCATTTCAAAATTATTGCTTTATATATGCATATTTTTAATGAAAACACCATAATTTTGATAGTAGTATATAATTGAATTGTTTTTGTTTATAATTTTTATTTATTTTTAAATTTCTTTAAAAAACTCAATTTAGAAAAAATGGATAACTCCATATTTATATTATTTTATTGAATTTTTTTTAAAAAAAAATAGAGAAAAAATAAAAAGTTTATAATTAATAATAGTAATATATAAAGCTTTTAATATAATTATTATAATTTATATTTTTATTTTATATAATATATTACTTATTTATAAAAAAATTAATATTTTTGTATTTTCAAAAAAAGCACTTATAATCACTTTGATATTGATTTTTGGTATCTTAATATTTTAATTTCCCTTATATATCTTTTTTATAATTGAAACGATAATATTTTAATTAAAATTATATACTATATTTGAATTAATTACTATTTATTTATATATGAACATATATTTATGAATATTATATTTGAAAATATAAATAATTTGTTAATTTTTTGTATTAAAATACATATATAATACATTATTAGTATTAATATGTTGTTTCATTACTTTTTTTTTATATTTATAATATAATTTATTTTTATTACTATTTTTAATATTTGATAATATATATATATATTCTTTTAAACAATTTCGAGTTACAAATTAAAAAAAATATAATATATTTTATAATTAATATTTCCCATCTATACTATTTAAGAGTTAATTATAATTAAAATCTTTTATATTAATAAGTTTTTTTTTTTTACATTATGTTTTTCCTATATGATAGTTAGTATTTATAAATTAATTATTTTTCAAACATTCAAGCGATTGAATTTTTCCAGAATTAAAATAGAATCTTTTGTATATTTTTTTAACAAAAAATAAAATAATTATGTATATTTTTTTAATTATAATATAAAGACCATAACTAGTTTTTTTTTTCATTTTTTTTTTTTTTAATATTTTAAATGTTATTTTGAAAAAAAATAATGATTAAAAATAACATGTATATATATATAAAAATATGCATAAGAATAATATTTTACTGAAAATAATAAATATATATACAATTCTTTAGAAATTATTATTTATAATTTTATTTTTTAAGTTCAAAATAATTAATTACTTCTTTTTTTTTTATTTTGGGTAATTTTTTTAAAAACTCAAACAACGACAAAAATAAAGCAAAGAAAAATGGATAATTTCCTATTTTTATTCTAATCGGGTTTTTTTTAAAAAAATACAGAAAATATTTAAACCTATCAGCAAGTATTATATATATATATATTTTTGGAAAAAAAATAAAAAATTCTGTTTACAAAAAAAAAATAAAGGAAAAAAGAAAATAAAAGAAAAGAAAAGAAAAACATAGAATTAAAATAATAATTAAAAATGGAAAAAAATCTCTTATAAGTAAAAAAAAGATTAAAAACCCTAAAGTCCTTTATATATTTTTATAAAGGCATTTCTATATTTTTTTTAATAATAGTCCTAAATATATAAAATGAATCTCATATTTTTTTCCCTTTTAAATTATCTATATGGGACTAATTTAATATTGCTGATATAATAATTCCTTAATTTTATTTATTGAATTAAATGAATATTATAAATAATAAAAAAACAATAATAAAAAGGAATTTTTTTATACTTTTTTTTTCTGGAATTTTTTTGAATTTACAAAAGGCTAATTTTTTTTGGAGAAATTTTAGAGTTTTTGGTTTTTATTAAAGACAAGCTTTTTTTTTAATTTTGAATGAAATTTAGTATTAGTTTTTTTTAGCGAAAATCTTTTATTAGTTTATGTTTTTTGCATTTATTTTACTTTTCTTTGTTTTTTTTTAATATTTCTTCTAAAAAAAAAATACACTAGATGATAATTTCTCTTCTTTTATAGATTAAAAAATACTCACCAAAAATTATATGGAAAACCCTTTTTTTGATTCAGAAGGCATTTTTTCAACTTTTTCTGCATATTTAACCTGTTTTTTAGGCACTTTTTATTCATATATAATTAAAAATACTATTAATAGGAATTAAAGGAGCTTTTTTTTAGCGTTTTAGGCCATTTTGTTGATTATTATAGCATTAATATCACTATTTCTGTGTAATTTTAATAGAATATACTCAAGTCCAGGGTTTGTTTTTATAGCTGGTGGAATTAATGGACTGGTTTTAATGTTTTTATTACATTTTTGGGATGATTATGTGGTTAAATTTACAAAGAAAATTTAAAAATTTGGTAAAAAATGGATTTTATTTGCTTTATTAGTTAGCGAAATTTATATTTTATTAAAATTTAATATTGTATTTACTTATTAAGGGGAATAATTTTCATTGTGGAATTTTTTGGTGGAATTTGGTATAAAATAAGTAATAAAAGATGAAGATTTTTCATATTTTTTAATGCATTTTTTATTGAATATTTTTACATTTTTTTTAATAATTTATAAATTTTGATTTTTTTTTATTTTTTCATAAAAATAAAAATATCTCAAAATCAATTTTTTTTTAAATTTAATAAATTTTTCTAATTATAAAAAAAACAATAAATAACTAAAATTTCAACATTTAAGTATTTCTTGTTAGTCTATTTTTTGTATAAACCATATAATTACTTTGTTAATTTTTAAAATATATATAAGATAAACAAAATAATCATTAAATAATTTACATTTTTAGGGATAATTATTTAAGTCTGGAAGTGCATTTATTTTTTTATATTGGTTTTTACATATATGGTCCATTATATTTAAAATCATACTTTGAAATTTAAGAAAATCTAAATTAAAGCTATAAAAACTATAAATACATGTTTTTAAAGACAAATTGTTAAAATAAAATAAATTAGATTATTTTTATAAAATAATATATATTTTTATTTTATTTAAGTTATAAATGAATTAATTATATTACAAAGAAATAAAATAAATTTTATATTTTTGATATAAAGAAAATTATAAATAATTATTATAAATATATATTAATTATTTAATTATATTTTTTTTAAAAAATAAAAATATTGATTAATGGAAAAAGATTATTAAAATATAAAAAAATATCATGAAGAAATATTAAATTTATACGAAGTCCCTTATATATATAGAGATTCATGTGTAGAGGATTATATGAATTATTAAATATGTAAAAGACAGAATCCACTAATAAAAGAAAATGATTTAATTTATAGGATTCCTGTTTTAAATACATTATCATCATGCATTTAACTAAAAAATTAATGGATAAAATGTCAGGACTATAGAGAAAATGAAGTATATGAAGAAATAAGAAGATAATATATAAATTAATTAAGAAAAAAATGAAATTATAATATATATATAAATGTATTTATATTATATATATACATGTATATAAATATATATATACATATTTAATATTGATAATTTATATATATATATTTATATACATATATATATATTTTTCATTATAATTAATTTTCGTCTTCTATATATTCTTAATTTTAAACACATTTTAAAACTACTTTTTGGCTTGATTCCATCAAATGTCCCGAAAACATCATTTCGTCTAATATAAAATAAGCTTTATGGAAATTAAATATTATATCCAATTCACATACGTTCATGAAATATTTATCTAAGCATTCAACATATTGATGAATTATTTCTAGTACGTTTAATTCGTTTTCTTCTTTGTCGACAATAGTTATAAAATATAAACTGGCATATCTATATATATATATTTATATATATATATATATATAAATATATATATATATATATTATATTATTTTTAACATAAAAAAGTATATATAAGTATTTTATTACCTTTTATATACTATTTTATAATCATTCCATTCTAAAAAATTACATAATTTATTACTTCTTGTTAATACAATTGAATTTATCTTTTTTTTTTTAACATATTTATTTATATAAAAAGTATACTTCTTTTAAGTATTTTATTTTCTCTTTATTCGTAAAAGTTTAAGAAAACCATTTTGTTAAGCGTGTTTTTCCTTATCGACTTATTAAAAATAAACAATGAATCATATTTATTAATTTTCTTTTATTTTATTTTCAATAAAAGTAATTTTATTTTATTATTATTATTTTTTGTTATAAAAAAATAAATAAAAAGATTTATAAAAAAAAAATATTAATAATTTAATATATATATATATTAAAAAAAAAATTAATAAAAAAATGTTTTTAACTCCAACAAAATTAAATTCTTTACATTCCTTAAAAAATTTTTAAACCAAATTAACATTCCCTATATTCAAATAAACCCGTTCTTAAATAAAAGATATAGTATCAGAAACAAAAAAGAACCCATTATAAGAATTCCAAGGGAAATACATATATAATCTTCCTGCATTTTAAATAATAAATAACGAAAAATTCCTTTCAAAAATAATAAAATTAGAACTTTAACAAAAGCCTTTAAAATCAGTATAAGATGGCTTAAAATTTCCTTTTTTATTGATTTTTTTTACAATTTTTATATTTTATTAATGGCAATCAATTCCTTTTAAAGTAATTTATCCACACGCAACTATAAATGAAACAATTAAAACTAAATATAATGTACATGCTATTTTTACAGGTAAATATATAATAATACTTCATAATATATATTTTAATAGGCGCACTTTCTCATAAAAATTGGGAAAATCTTGCCTTATATGGAATTCCATTTTTTTATGCAATAAATATGATTGGATTTTTTATGAAATAAAGACATATGTTTTATTTATTTATAACGAATTCTGTTTTTACAGCACTTATAACTTTTCTTTTTGATAAATAATTTGGAAATTTAAACTTTTTATATCCCAAAAATAACGGAGGGTGTACAAGTTTATCTTTTCTTTCTTGTTTTTTGGCTTTTTAGCCTAAAGCGAATGTTTTAAAAGTTCCTTTATATACAATTGTGACTTCATTTTTGATGTATGAAAGTTATTAATTAAAAAATTCTGAAAAAAATAATAATTTATGTCATGCTGCACATATATCAGCTATTTTTTATGGATTTTTTTTCGGGTTGCTTTTTAAAAGAATAATGTGATTTTTTATTTAATATATGTAAAAATAAATAAATGTTTTTTTTTTTAAAAAAAATATGGATAAATTTAAAAAATTTATATATATTAACAATTATATTAAAAATAAAATTAAAAATATGGATTTTTCAATAAAACTCTCATTTTTTAAGGACTTAAAAAAGATGATTTTTAAAAAAATTAAATTAAATATTCTTTTTTTATAATTAAAAGAAAATTAGAAAATTCTTAATTAATAAAAGCAAATTAAAGTCGAAGAAAAAAACTGATTTTATTGTTTATTTAAATAAAAGCAAACCCACTTCTTTTAAAAATTAAAAAGAAGAAATTTTAAACAAATAATAGTCTAATTTACACTATATTAGAAATAAATATTTATATTCAGATATTTATTTTTACAGTTAATTAGTTTTTTGGGTATATATATCTTTTTATAAAATTTAAACCAATAAAATTGTATTTATTAATACAAAAGTATATAGAAGGTATTATTATAAATTAATTCTTAAATAATATATATAAAAATCTTGATATAATCCTCAGTGAATTTTTTTTAAATATCCTATATATAAATTTTAAACAATTAAAAATTTACATTAAATTAAATTACATCTAACATTTAAAATTTTTTATAAGCAATACATCTAGATTTTTCATAAATTGATATCTTATTTTATCAATTAATTAATTGCGGTTTATATGACTAAATACTCAGTGTATACAAAAAGAAATTTAAAATTTACCAAATAATACTAAATTTATTTTATAATCTAGATTTCCTAAAGTTTATTACGATTAAGCTTCAAAATAAAATACATTTGAATCGCAAGAAATATAAAGAAAAATATAAAATCCAATTTTAAATAAATCTATTTAAAAAAAATCGGATAAAAAAGGAATTAAAATGATAAAAGAAGATATAAAAATGAATAAAAATTTGAAAAAATTATAAATAAAAGTAATATGTACTAAAACTTAAAATATTCAAAATGAAAATTTATAAGAATTTTTAAGAAACTAGATAAAGTTTTAGAAACTCTAAATAAAAAAATATATATAAGTTTTTTTATTTTATAGTTAAATAAGAATCTTATAACTGTTTAAAAGATTTAAATAAAAATATATGTAATTAAATAAATGAATCGTCTAGGAAAAAAAAAAAAAAAATATATATATATAAATATATATAAATAAATATATATATATATATTTATATTATATAAATATATTTATTTTATTTTATTTAATATCTCTTTTTTTTTATTATAATATCATTTATTATTAATATATATAATAATAAATTTATATGAAATATTTTATTTATTCTTGCTATTTTTTTATTTTTATTTTTATAATACAATCGATTTTTTTTATCAAAAAATAATTGATTATATACAAAAATTTATTATTTTAAAGTTTTATACAGATTATATTAAGTTAATATTATTTAAAGTATAAATAATTAGATATTTATAAACAATATATATAAAAAATAAAATTAAAATTAAGATTAACATTATTATATACAAGTTTTATTCAAAAAAGAAAAATGAAGTGATTTTTTATAAATTGATAAAAAAATATTAATTTTAATTAAATCATAATAAATGAACAAAACTAACAAAAAAAATATTGGAATATAATAAATTATTAATAAATAATAGTGAAAATAAAAACTTTAAAAATAAAAAATAATATAAAAGTAAAATATCATAAATTAATAATAATAAGAAAAATTAATATTTTTAATTTACAATTAATTAATATAAAATATAGATTTTAATTTTAAGGTAATTTTATTTTATTAAAAAGTATTTAAAGTAAATGTTTATAGTAAATATGAAAAAAACTTAAAAAAAAGTATATAAGCATTAATAATTTGTATAAAATATATATATTTTATCATATTCTAACTTAATTAGATTTATGATTTTAATAAGTCGAAAATTGATAAATGAAAAAAAAAATTATAACTTATTGATTTAAAAAATAAAAAATAATAATAAAATTAAAGATACAAAGATATTTACAATTAATAATATAATAAATTATTATATAAAATATTATAAAAAAAATATTTAAGATTAATTTTTATAATAATTAATATATATATAAAAGATGAATGAATATTTACAATAAAAATATATAATATAAAAATAAATTTATATTCTATCATATTATATTATCATTATATTTCTGATTTTAAACTTTTAATGCTTATTAACTTTAGTATCTATTTGAAAAGTTTTCATTGATTGATAATTCTAAATTACATATTTACTTATTAAACTAATCTAAAAATAATTATAAAAATATATAAATATATATCTATATATATTTATATATCTACTTTGTTAATCTATAATGCTTCTTTCAAATTCTATATCTTATATTAAATATATTTGAATATATAATATATTAAAAATATACATGTTTCTTCGAAAGATTAATTATTTTTTTTGCTTTATTATTCCAAAAGTTCATTTTATTATTGAATAATGTTTTCATAATATTTTTATATTCTATTTACTTCTGTTTCTATATTTTTATAATATATATTTTTTATATCAATAATTTCTTTTTAAAATTATAAAATTTCTTTTTTTTATTCTTCTAATTGTATTTCTAAAACTTCATTATTTTATCTAAAATAATTAATTTCTTCATCTTTTTCTTCCAATGTTTTATTGTTACTATTTAGATAATTAATATTTTTTATTATATTTAAATTTTCTTAAAATTAATATTCCTGTTTTTAATAAAGTTTAATTTCTTCATTTAAAATTTCGTTTTTTAATTCCAATTATTTTATTTCTTTGTTTAATTTTTTATTTCATAATCCATTTATTTTTTTTATTATTGATTTTTTTATAATCTTAATTCTTATTTTTTATATAAAAAAAGTTTAAATATTTTTTGTTTTTACTATAAAATTCTAATTCCTATATAATATTATGTATTAAGTTTTCATATTTTATTAATTATTCTTAATATAAATTTTCCTTATATGGCGAATTATTTTAATCTTCTAATAAATTATTTATACAAGTTTTATTTAAAATACCTTCTTTACTTGAAAACACATCAAAATGATATTTATTTTCGTATTAATTTTGCTTAGTTTTGTTTTGAAATTGACTTTTTATAAGACTAAAAATATCTTCAAAATGTTATTTTCTATTTTCATCTATAAAAATGTTTCTTTCTTATTTTTTTTATTAATCATATCCTGTTAAATAACTAGTATATTTTTTTTTTTAAGCATTAATATTATATTTATTCAAAATTTTTTTTTAATTATTGTTTATTTGCCTTTTTTGATTCTTATATCTATAATTTATGCGGAGAAACTTTTGCTTAGATGTTTATTTATTTTTAATCAATTTTTAAGCCATTTGAATGTTTAAAATTTACTTGATTTTCAATTTTTTTTATTGTTTCGACTTTTAATGTGTTAAATTTTTTGTATTTTTATTTTAAATATTTTAATTCAAACCCTTCATTATTATTTTAGGATTATTTATATATATCATAATGTGTATTTGCCTTTATTTTTATAAATATTTTATAATTTTTTTGCTTGTTCATTTTGTTACACGAGTTCTATTTTATTTTATTGGAGAATTTTAAAGAGTAAAAGATTTTATTTTTTATTGTTTTGCTATTTATGCTTTTTTATATTTTTAATGATTATTTTTATTGATTTTTACTTGGAGAAATTCTTTTTGTCAAAAATTCTTTATTTTCTTAATATTATTAAATTATTTAATAATTATGATAATAATCTTTCATGAATTACTATTTTTTTGTTAACAGATTATTTGGTTGATATTTTTAAAATATTTATATATTATTTTTTAATTTAATTAATTCTATCTAATAAAAACAAATATAAATAATTAATTTATTAACTATTAAACAAAAGAATCAATGA